TGGGTGTTATGCACAAACAATGAATCATGGAACACTTCATCTAAAACTAATGATGTAATGTATGGGGATTAACATAAGAATAAAAAAAAATATATCACTCCCAAAATAAGACACTAAAATTCAGAACATAAAGATACTCTGCATGATAAAGCTGATTGAACAAACACATCTTAGACTTTTAAACCTTGACCAATGTTTAAATAACAATGCTTTAGTGAAGTGATTAAATTAAAAAAATAAACTTAAAAAATAAAGCATATTTAAAACACCAAATTTTGGTGACCAGGATAGGTAAAGTAATTTTATTATAAATTTGAGGATCTAAAAAGTAATTTGTTACATTTACTAAGATAAATCTGAGATGGCCCGTATCAAGCACATGTATCCTGCATAGTGACACTGGGCTTCTCGGGCATAAAAAGACAGAGCCCCACAACCCTTTAGGGTTGGGATCAGCCAGATTGAAATATAAAATTATACTGACTCTCAAGTAGGTCATACTGATGAGGATCCTTTTGGTTTATCACTCTGGCATTGGGACGGTGAAGAGTTCAGGGAAGAAGTCTCATTCTTGAAGGTAGCCTCCAGCAATGCAAGCTTCTCTTTTCCTACTTTTTATCTCAATGATATTTAGAGACTTTCTGTAATTAATGAGAGTTATGATTCAATTGGTCTGTAAGCCTGAGTCTGAAAATGCGTAGGAGCTGGTTGACCGGTAAGAAGACTGACGCCAGACAAAGGGAAAACACATGAGTCTGGGTTCTAGTCTGTGACCATCCAGCAACAGAGATGCTGTGGGCAAGTCACCACAAGCCCAGCAGGGGGGGCATACACACAAGGGTCAGAAGAGACCTCAAGCTAAGCCAGCTTCCTGCTTCTAAAGGAGATATATCTGTCTGTCTCGCCAATTACTTGCCCTTAACACTCATAGGCAGAGAACCCGAGGTCTCTTTTATTTTATATTTATTTTTTTAAGATTACTAAAAGCAGTATCTTTACAAGTCAGAGCTGTAGGAAGCGTCAGAGGCTTAATGGGTATAGAGCAAGCACCATCTGTGGGATCCTAGAAAGAACCCGGGGCGGGAGAGGACCGAGCAGCACCTGAGAGGCAGCTGAGACATCGGGGAGAGCACCCTCACCCTTCAGGATTGACAGGTAGGGAAGAGACGCCACAAAGGAAGAGCTGCAAAATACGGCACGCTCATCAGGACAGAGGACAGTCCAAGGACAGGAGCCCACAGCTCAGCCTTCTTGCCTGGGAATTTCTATCCCAGGTTCTCTTGAATAAACCCTCTTCTTCCAAAACTGGCTCCCAGCAAGGATGAGTTTGCTCAGGAGACGTTAGGCAATGCCTGTTGACAATTTTGGCCTCTTGCCACTGGGGGAAGGGTGCTATTGGTATTTAGTGGAGAGGGGCCAGGGGTTTTGCTGAATGTCCTACGGTGCACTTGGGAGTCAGGAGTTTCTTTTCCAGGCCCTGGTGGGCAGGAAGCTTGCTGTAGGGGTAGAGGGTGGGGTGGGGGGACACCGTGCGGGCTCAGGCTCAGGGGCTGGGTGTAACAGACCATCCCTGAAAATGTTTTCTCATCCAGCCCTGAGGAAGCAGCCCCACATCTTCAAGGCTGGAGCTTAAGCAACTGAAAGAGCAGGCAAAGTGGGAACCCTGCTCTGAAGGGTCCACTCACCCCCACTGAGGCACCCCCTACAGCTGGAGCCCCCGTCGGCAGCAACTGCACAGAGAAGATTCACTGCTGCTGCTCCCACTCCCCCAGCCCCAAGCCTGTGTCTGGAGGGCCTCAGGCTGGGACATTTTGCCCACTTGAGCACAGTTCCTCAGCCTCCCCACTTTTGACAATGGGGCTGGATCATTCTGTGTCATGGGGCTGTCTTGTGCCCTGTAGGAGGTTTAGCAGCATCCCTTGCCTCTACCCACTGGATTCCAGTAGCAACTCCCCACCCCTCAAGCTGTAACAACCAAAAATGTCTTCAGACATTGCCAAATGTCTCCTGGGGGGGGGGCACTATCACCCCTGGTTGAGAGCCACTGCTCCGCAGATTATTGGTGGGAGAGGCACATAGCCTTGTGATGGAGAATATCGGTCAGTGCGCCACTCGAGCTTGCTTGCTGGGAAATGCAGTGAGAAAATTCAAGGGACTGAAAATGAAGAAGCAAAAAATATAATTTTTCTTCTAATTTTAGTATAAAAAATAGGAAAGCCTCACATTCTATGGATGACAATATATTGCCTGGATAAGTGGATGGAGGGAGGGAAGAATGGATGGATGGGTGGACAGATGGATAAACGGACAGACAGATGGATGATAGGTAGGTAGAGGACATGCACAATTCTTTTTCAGAAGTTTGGTATTTAGCCCAAATTGTTTCTCAGTATCCCCTTACCCACCCTTCCTTGTTAAGAGCAGGTCAGACAACAACCATGCCTTGGAGTAATGAGGACCTCTCAGGTGTCTGGGGCCGGCATGGCTCTCTAGACAGGAAGCACAGAGTTTAGGGGGCTACATCCTGATTATTTAAAACTGGAGCCTCCAGGGTGACTGGGGGAGGGAGGACAATGTCAAAACTTTGGAGGTGGCAGAAGAGCTAGAGATGAGGCCCAGGGCATGCCAAGGTTGGTGGGTGGCTGCCAAGGGGTGGAGGAGGGAGCAGCATGGAGCAGGGAGTCCCTAAAGATGTTAGGTGATGGGGGCGGAGCAAGATGGCGGAGGAGTAGGAGACCTGGATTTCGTCTCCTCTCAGGAATTCAGCTGGATAGGGATCAAACCATTCTGAACACCTACAAA